TGGTCCCTGGGCAGGGTGGCTGGTGGCCTGGGGGGAGGCTGCGGACCGGGGCAGGGGACCGGCACCACCTTCCCCTGCCGTGGGGGAGCCTGCGGGCTGGGTGACATCTTGCACCCGTGGAGCGGCCCTGGCCAGACGCATCGCTCTCCCCACAACCCCTCAGCCGTGGCATGCCACCTTTGAGCAGTGCCCTGGGCTGGGGAGCCAGATGTGCCCAGCGGTTGGGCATCTCCGGGTAAGCGAGGCTCTGGATGCGGCAATGGGGTCACCGCCAGCACCCAGCTCTCCTGCCCAGGGGCCAGATCCTGCCTTCTCCCCTTCCCTCGCAGCCCAGCCCTGGGTGGCATCGACCTTCTCGACCCAGCAAGGGCCGGGTGGTTGACCCATGTGGAGAAGAGCTCAGTGCTGGTGCGGGTGGCCCATATATCTTACTGCTGTCTGACAGGCAGCACAGACCAGGAGAAAGGGGCATGCGGGGCTGCAGCGTTCCCACACCATTTCGTGCCCCCCCCATCCTGTCAAAGTCCTGGAGGAAGGCATGGCCACCTCTGACCTGAAGACCCCTGACTTGTGTCCTCCTTGGTGGCAACGAGACACCTGAGGGGCAAAAGCCCACTGAAACCCTCAGCATCGCCTATGTGCACTGGGGTGCCCAAAACCCCACGCGTGGTCCTTGGGGCTCTCCAAGCTGGTACCTGCTCCCGTCGCCCACTGGCACGGGAGATGCAGTTGAGGGTCCCGCACCTTGCCCTTGCCCAGGCTGCCATCCCATTCCTGGCCCGGAGGATCAGTAGCACCAGCTCCACCAGTGTCCTGGGCGAGGTGACCGGGGCCGACGTGGAGGAAGTGGCCCACACCATCAGCATGCACCAGCGCATCACCAGCCGCTTCCTCAAGGGCAGCGTGGGTGGGTCCTGCACCCTCTGTCCCCATGGGTGTCCCCTCCGGGGCCAGCGTGCCGTGCTCGGGCTGTCCTTACTGCTTTGTCCCACGAAGCACAAGGAAGGTCCCCGAGTCCACACCAGCATCCAGGCACCACCTAGCGTGGTGGGACAGGTCTACCTGGCAACTGGCTTGTCCCCTATCATCTTTGGTGGTCCCTGGGGTTGTTCCAGCTTGTCACCTGCCTCTGGATGCTGGGGGTGGAGGGGAGGAGGCTTGCAGTGTCACAGTCCCTAAGGGAACTGGTGGTGTCCCCAGATAGCACTGTCTGGCCACGGTACTCTGCCAGAGCAGGTTTGGGGGGGGCAGCCATCTCCAGAAAGATGTCCTCAACCTGGTCTGTCTCCGAGACTCTCAACCCACGGGAGGTGGCTCAACACTTGGCAGCTCAGCTCCTGGCCCGACCTGCTGCCACACCTCCTGCCAGGGCCTCGATCTCAACGAGTGCCGGTGCATCGTTGCCTGCCTCTTCAACAGCATCACGGCCAAGAAGATCATGCTGTTGGGCTTCGCCTTCTGAATGGACATGGGGAAACACAAGGTGCTGGCTGGGCAGGGTTGGGGAGGAACAGTCGAGCCGGACCATTCCCCTGCCTGCAGTCGTTCAGTCACGTATGTGATGAGCAGCCTGATCTCTGCAGCTCCACCTCAGAGCAGCAGCAGAAGGATTCACACGCCGGGCCCCAGTGCAGCTCAACTTTCCCTCTTGGCCCAGGGAGTCATCCAGCATCCCCAACAGCAAGTACCAGATGGATGAGGGTGCCCACCGGCACACTTACTTAGGGCCTCAGGGTGAAGAATGAGCAGATCGTGCAGGTCATGTCCCAATCCATCACCTCAGCTGAGGGGTAGGGCCGATGCACACCCGGGGTGGCCAGGACCACAAGCCACTGGTACTCCCCAGCCTCGAGGCTCGGAGCAGGTCCCCGGTGCCCTCCCAGGCCTTGCAATCGGCCATCCCAGGCCTGGCAATCGTGTCCCTGGGAGCAGCACCCTGCTGTGACTCTGCCGGTTTCCCTCTCGCCTGGCCTCCGCTGCCCACCTGTGCCGCACCTGGAAGGACAGGCTGGACTTGGTGTTGGCGCTGAAGATCTGCTGGATGCTCTCCTCCTGAGCCCTTGCTTAGCCTGGTCTGCATTGCCTCAGGCCCCTACAAAACCTGTGGCAACACCCATGGCATCATCTTCTGCACTGGTACCTCTGCACATCTACATCTTCAAGGTAAGATGCTCCAGCCTTGGCCATGGTAGCAGGAAGGACTCGGTGCCCTTGGGGCTAGTCCTTTCAGACATCAGCTCTGCCTGTTCCCCTCCCCTGGGGGGCTGCTTGTTCCTCACCCTTCAGCTCTGATCTGCCCCGTGGAGTCTCTACCTCCACAACTACCTCCACCCAGGTGGCCACCTGGACTTCCCATCGGCAGAGCCCCTTGGTCCCTGCAGTCCAGGGCTGCCCTCGGCCCCAGTTCCCACCCTCGGCAGCTCCCCTCGGGTGTTCTTCCAGGAGCTGGACTATAAGCGAATCTACTGGGCCATGCTGGTGCCCTTAGGCTCTTGGTGGCTTGTGCTCCAGGTGGAGACCATGAACAGGAGGATCAGGCAGCACCGCCCCTTCACCACCACCAGCACCATCACCCAGCTGGACATCCAGGCTCCTCCCGTGAAGAAGCTGAAGCAATGATGTTTCTGTAGATACATCTTGAGATGCTGTGAAGATGTGTTGTATCCATATGCAGTGGGTGCTGCTGACTGTGGATGCAGATGGGTGGGCTTCCCAGGGAGCAGGAATTCCCTCTCTCCAGGGCGCTCACCAAGGCCGGGCTTGTGTACCTCATTCCAGACTGTCCTCATAAAAAGATCTGGCTGCTTTGAGAGCTGGAGTGACCCTTCTTCTAGCCCTGCTCCTGGGCGATCACAGGCTCCCATGTGGTCCTGAGCCACACCAAGGCTGGGACACATCCCCAGGGCCAGCATAGCCCCCGAGGCCTTTGGGGTGCCTCAAATGGCACTGGCAGACCTCTGGGGGGCACAGAATGGCCCATGGAGGTCCCAGAGGAAGGTGACACAAGAAAAGGCACATTGAAGCCCCTGCAGTGCAACAAGAAACACTCTGAAGACACCAAAATTCACTTCAGAGGCTGTTGCGGGTGCACAGAGAGAGACGGTGAGAGTCCTGGTGTACATCAGAAGGGACAGACAGACCTCTGGGGAGTAGAAAAGGGCACCTGGCAGCACCTGAGGGTACACCAAAAGGCTCTTGAAGGATCCCCCCTGGGGATCTCCAAAAGGATGGCACTTGGGTGCTGCCAAAGGGACTTGGTGGGTCCAGATGCATGTCAGAAGGTACTGGTAGAGCTCTGGGAAGCAGAGATAGGCATGCAGGGCCATTCCAGGTGCACCAAATGGACTCAGAGCCCCATGGGCCACATCCCAAAGCTCCGGCAGGCTTCTGGGGCACTACATAAGGCAGTGATTAATCAGTGTTGAGCACAGAATGGCTGTTGGAAGACACCTGAAGGCACTTCAGAGTCCCCTGGGGCTGCACTGCAAGGCACCTGGCAGCACCTGGGCAGCGTAGAAAGGCAGATGGAGTCCCCCCTTAAGTGCACCAGAAGGCACTCGGGACCACAGTGAGCACAGAAAGGCCCTTGGAGGCCACTGGGGCCTAACAGCAAGGCACCTGGGTCCTTTTTGCACAGGAGAAGGGACCAGCAGAGCTCTGTACTTGGAGGCACCCAGGTATGCCCTGAAATGCACTTGGAAGACCCCGGTGCTCATCAGAAAACACTTCTAGACCACTGGGCACACTGAAAGGCACTTGGAGGCCCCAGAGAAGGGCATAAAGGTGCTATGATGTCCCAGAGGTGCACCCAAAGGCACTCAAAGACCACTGGAGGCTCATCAAGAGGTGCACGGAGGAGCCTGGGGCATATTGACAGACAGTCAGAAAGACCCTGGAGAGAAGCTGGGGGCACAAAAGCTCTGGGTGCCAGCGACTGCTGCTTCCCACAGGAGCAAATGCTGCCTTCAGGGGCCCAGCAGGCTGCGGCTCCAGAGCCTGGAGGCTACAGGAATGATCCAAGTCCCACCCCATCCCTTCTCCTGCCGCTGGAGAAGACAGCTTTGCTGGTGTGGGGGGAGAGGACCAAGATGGCGCTGGACAGGCAGGGAGCTGAGGATGCGGGAGCAAAAGACGATGTGACACAGCCGGTGCTTTCCAGGCTACTTTAATACCAAGTGAACAGCATGCGGCCGGACCTCCTGGTCCCGAGGAATCATTCATAGACAGCCGGTAACCCCGTGGCTGCTTCCCCGCAGCGCAAACAGCCCTGCACCTCCCAGAGCCCGCAGACACTCCCCTCGTTAAAAAGCAGCTCCACCAGCCCACGGAACGTCCCCCGTTCACCAGGACGGTCCCCGTGTGTGGCCTTGCCCTCACCTGAGGCTGTTCCTCAGGAACCAGGCATGCCAGTGGAGGAGAGACGGGCCCACGGTGAGCCCAGGCAGCCCCCAATGTCCCCTCCGCCTCCCCAGCCGACGCTGGCAGTCTCTCCAAGCAGCTGCTGCTTCTCTCTGCACCGGGCCCCTCCACCGCAGCAGAGCATCACAAACCAACTTAAAAGAAGCCAAACTGGGCAGGTAAACCTACAGCCCCAAAAAACAGAACCATACCCAAGGGCCGGCTGGGGACAGGGCAGCCGTCACGGACCAGGCCAGCAGCCCTATCTTCCAGAGCCAGCTCTCAAAACAAACCCAAACAAACTCAAAACAAAGCTGGAACAGGACCAGGTCCCCAGCGGGGCTCGCATGCCGCTCCTGCGGCCGGCGGCACCGAGGCTGGTGGCTCAGGTTCAACTGGTGGTTCGGGCAGAACGGCTGCCTACGTCAGCTGGCCTCCTGCAGCGGAGAGCAAAGCATCAGGCTCTGTGCAGTGCTGCGGGGAGCAGCACCCCAAAACCCCCTCTCCTTGTGTTCTCTGCTTCCAACCAGGAATCCCACCCGCAGCTCAGAGCCACCGGGTCACACTTTGGGGGGGGGACGACACAGTGTTTCAGCCCTGCCTGCCAGGCTGGGATCCGCCATGCACTAGAAGGACCACAGCTCCACACTCCCAGGAGACGCTCCAAGTCTTTGGGAAAGGCAGGGGGTTGGCACCGACGCCGTGCAAGGACTCACCTAGCATCCGGAGAACCTGCAGAGCCACTGCAACCTTCGCCTCCTCATGCCCGCTCCTGCCTGGCCCATCCTGCCGGACCCACGTGAACCCACTGAAGGGCACGGGGCACCCTGGGATCACCACCCGGCACCAGAACCGCAGCCACCCGTTGGGATTCGCCTGGATGCACTTGGTGAGGAACACGGGGGTCCCCAGGTACTGCCTCTGGCACAGGGTGTTCAGGTGGTCCAGCGCGTTGTGCAGCACTGGAGACAGGGGCGCCTGCTTGGGGACCCCCAGGCACTTGCTCCCTTGCACCTGGCTGGATGATGGCTTCTCCTTGCACGACTGCAGTTTCTGCTTCAGATCGGGATTCAGCCAGTCCACCTTCATCTCCACCCCACCGAGCCTCATGTTCCCTAGGAGAGACAGGCAGCAGCTGGCAGGAGATGCTCAGGAACCAGCCCTCCAGTATCACCCCATCCCGTCGCCCAGCATCCGGCAGAGTGACCCCCGTGGGTGGTTTGGCACTGACCCACAGGGTATGAACTGCACAGGATCCTTTCCCCTGCCTCCACGACCCCTCGCGCAGCCGCAGGGCAGTCGCTTCTCCATCTCCTTTTGCTACCAAGGTGGGCTCGGGGCTGTGAAGCTCAGGGGATTTTAGGGGCAGCCTGCCTTTAGGGACAGGTGCAAAGACGTCAAAGCCAAATGCTTCTCAGCTGGGGCAGAAACAGGTACAAATCAGGACTTTGGAGGTTCCAGTTAGATGTCTAGGAAACACGTCCCATCGAAGGGCAGTGCAATCATGGGACAGGGCACTGAGGGGTAGGGCATCGCCATCAGGAGGGTTTAATAACTTGGTCAAAGCTCTGGTTGCCCTGGACTGGTACTGGCGATGCTCCTGCTCTGAGCAGGCAGCTGCCTGAAGACCTCCAGCAGCCCCTTTACCCCACCACCACTAGGTCTGCACAAGGACTGCCGGGGATCAGCCCCACCGAGGACAGCTGGCCTCCCACGGGACACAGGGAGAGAACAAGGGACGTCTCAAGGCTGAAGTCACCTCGCAGCTGAGTGTGGAGGTTGGATCAGTCCTTCCTTAGAGACACCAGGAAGACCAGCCCAAGCAGCATTCCACAGCACCCCGGCCTCACACTTACCTTCTATCAGGGTTTTCTTGGCCATGGCAGCAGCCTGGTGCGAGCTGTATTTCAGCACAGCGAGCTGGGCCCGCTTCTGGCAGGGGCTGGCATACAGGGTGATGCTGAGGACCCCCTCCGTGACCTGCCGCAGCACGGCCTCCAGCTCCTGCCGGCTGACCGAGGTGGCCAGGCCGTCCACGCTCAGCTCGCACTTCTCCGTGCTCTTGCACACCACGATGGCGCAGCCCTCCCGCACCTCAAAGTTGTTGAAGGCAGCGATGGCCTCCTTGGCGCCGCGCCGGTTGCTGTACTTGGCATAGGCAAAGCCCCGGTTGAGCCCACTGAAGGTCATCATGAGGCGAAACTCGTAGAGCTTCCCCA